TGGGGGGGGAGGGAGAGTCCAAAACAGGAGAAAAGAGAAATATGTAAAACTTCAGAAAATAAATAATTTAAAAATATGAAAATAAAGTCAAGAAAATTCAAAGAGGCTTTCATTTCCACGCGGACCCATTACTGATGCTCCCAGTATTGCTGGTGTACCTTTATTTGTTCTCCTAGAAGTAGTCACTCTTCAGGTCAATAAAGCCTTAAGTTCTAAATGTGCTGGAGATATTTGTAAATACAACAAAAATGTATTTATTTTTCTTGGCTGCGGCCTTCCACAATATATGAGATGCACCTACTAATTAAATCCCAAGATTGTTGGCTCCTCTACTTCAAACAGCTCATTTGATCAAACTGCTGAACAAGATCAGTTACTTTCAAGGCTACATTCTTGCTAACCCTCCTCCCTGCTGTTGTCACACCTCAAGGATATTTGGCACCAAAGTGTCTCTAGTTAGTAGAAAGTTTCTCCCCCGCCCCCCTTTCACACAACTCTGTTTTGAACTCTTCATAACTTTTTCTCTAGTCATATTTTATAGGCTTGGGGAAAATACTGATAAAACACCTCCCTATACATTTGCCAGACTATCTCCTGGAAAGCAAACTGTAACTTTTAAAGACAGCCTCTCACATCTACTCAACTTCAGTGCTCTCCAACGCGCCTCCTTCCTTCTCCCTAAGCAACAGCCACTGCTGAAAAGAAGACGCCCCTTTATCGCTGCCATGTAGTGAGTGACTAGCAATACTTGGCCCTTTCTTCTCTTGGAAAGTAAAATAAAGTTCCTCTCTGCATGTTTCCTTTTAGCTCTGAATTCTTCCACAGCCCACATCACCAGAAAAATCCTAAAAGTATTACTTTATTCAAAGGAGTTAAGAGGAAAAATATGAGGAAAATGACTTGTAGAAGCAAAATAATATTTCCTCCTTCTTTTCTAGGTTCTTTGTTTGGCCCAATACTTAAATTGATGTAATATAGATTAACAGGGCAATAACAATCACAAAGTTATTAATATAACCTAGATATACATGGAAATGACTCAGAAAAATGGAATAACCTGCCAAAATGGCAAACACCTTCACCTAAAATCACCCACCCCTACAGTCAAAAATGTTGTGTGTGGAATCAGGGTGGATTTTCAGGAAAAGCACAGTACGGATCTCAGTTGTGGCCCATTGTGCAGTGCACTGTGATGAGGGCTTGTATTCAAAAGGACTCTGTTCCAACCCAAAGATCCAGGTGAAGATACAGGAGACTGGGAAGGACATGGGTCCAGAACATGATCTGGACTGCAGGGAATACATGGTGAGAGCCAGTGTCTCATTCAGCCAGTAGGGATATAGAGGACAGAATCACATGGCCAGTCGGTCCTATGCATGAATAAGAAGTGAACATCCGTCCAATGAGACCAACAACATGTAGAACTCCAGCATCATTTCCAAATATTAGGTCCCAAAATTCATGTCCAATTGTATCCACTCCTGCAGGGTGAATATCAGTGCCACATAGGAACATCATTTAAAGGAGCAAGCTGAGGCATCAAATTCATCAGTGGAAGGGGTCACAGCATGACACCCAACTTGTGGACAAAGGTGCAGAGACCCAGCCCTAATTACCAAGGATTCCTGAGGGTCAAAACCAGTGCTGGGATCAAAGGGAAAGTAGACAACCAGCAGCTCACTCTGAAAGAAGGATCCCCTGCAGAAACCACTGCAGCTGAGAAATGATGGTGTTCCCATACACACAGGGAAGCCAAGAGTAAATGCTCTGAGATCTAAATGAATGGGAGGAAAAGCATAACTGCAGCCATGGAAACAGGAGCTGCAGCTGAGCCACCCTGGGCCTCAGACTGTACCTGCTCCAGTGAGGGCTGCACATCAGTGGTAGAGACTCTGTCTGACGCTGGAGAAAATAATGGTTAAAATCCAGTCTCTTGAACATGACACTTGTCTGTGGTGTAAACTTGGGGAGCTGACTTCATTTCTTTGACACTGAACTTTTTCAGCAATTTGATATGGGACGCACCACAATGAGACCTGAGTGCCCCAGCACCTGCCTCCCTGCAGCAGAGTCAGTGGCTTCTTATAGGTCCCATTTCTCACTAAAATGCACCCAAAGGCAAAGGTGCTTGTGGGCATCGGGGGAGTGAGGAGTGCCTTCCTGGAAAGGTATCTGTAGGGAGTGGTTTGAGTTGCTGGAGCCAAGGCAGGCTGCAGGCACAGCTGCTTTACACAAGTGGACACCTTACCACTGGACCTTCTCCAATAGCTCCGGCATGGGGACATACCTCATACTTGTTTTTCACAGGAAAACGGCCTTAGACCAGCAGAAAGGTTATGTCATTGTAAGTCCCAGTGATAACAGAGAATCTGAAATTCAAATCTAGGATGCCTGATCCAGGGCAAAGAGAGTCTGATCACTGCCCCCATCTCCCACTGCATTGGCTTCGGGACTATAAAACACCTGCCCACACAGTTGCCCTCTGATCTTCCTGAGAGAACTGTTCCAACCCAAGAACCCCCATGACAGGAGACAAGGAAAATGCAGAAGACTACAAAGCAAGGGCTTAGTGCAGGATCAGATGACTGGTGTTCTGAAAGCAATGGAGAATGTTAGTAGTGCAGGTTAAAATTAAAAATGGTCATTGCACAGGGCATAGCATTTAAAAAGTAATAAATCCCCCAGCTGGTATGGGTCAGTGCTTGAGCTTCAACCTGTGCACAAAGAGGTCCTTGGTTAGGTTCCCAGTCAGAGCACATGCCCGGATTGCAGGCTCCATCCCCAGTAGGGTATGGAGGAAGCAGCGATCAATGATTCCCTCTCATCATTGATGTTTGTTTTCCTTATTTTTCTTTTTGAAGATTAGGGACTCAGTTTTCTTTTTCATGGATTTCACAGAGGAAGGAAGAGAGACAGGGAGATAGAAAAATCAATGATGACAGACAATCATTGATAAGCTGCCTCCTGCAAGCCCCTCCTGGGGATCTAACAGGGACCGCGCATGTACCCTGAGTGGCATTGGAACTGACCTCCCGGTTCTTAGGACGATTGAGCCGCCTTGCTGGATTCACATTATTAATGGTTCTCTCTCTCTATTTCCACCTCCTTTGCTCTATGAAGTCAATAACAATATTTTTTAAATGAATTAAAATATTTTTGAAATATATCTTTATTGATTTCAGAGAGGAAGGGAGAGGTAGAGAGAGATAGAAACATCAATGATAAGAGAGAATGATGGATTGGCTGCCTCTTGCAGTCCCCACACTGGGGATTGCGACTGCAACCTGGGCATGTGCTCTTGACTAGAAGCTTACCTGGGACCTTTCAGTCGGAAGCCTGACGCTCTATTCACTGACCCAAACCAGGTAGAGCAATTAAGATATTTTACTTAAGTAATAAATATTAAAACATAGTATTCCAATACAAAAAAACCGTTTATTTCCTAAAGTAAAAAAGGCACAAAATGAATGAAATTCCAACATAGATCTTTGTTGTTCCAGCGTCCTATTTTTAAAGAAAATTGCGAAAACTCAGCACATTAGGCAGAACATATGGTAAGATGTTTTAACAAAGGAATAGAGTCAGCAAATACACCTCTGAGAAAAGGCTCACCATAAAATCCTACAAAAAATACAATCAAACATTAAGGCAGCACAACAATTTATAAAAAACAAAAAAAATACACGTTCAATTATGATTGACCGAAGAAATTATTCTCTAGGATGTGGAGACTGTGAATCCTTAATACACTGCTGAAAAAAATGTAAAAAAGTACAGTTAGTTGAAGTTTATTTTTTATTTTTAAAGAATAGTTTATTAACTTTTAGAGAGAGAAGGGAGAGGGAGAGAAACATTGATGGAAGAGTGCTATATAGGCCAGCCACCCCCTGCACACCCACTTCTATGGATCTAGCCCACAACTCAGGTACATATTCCCACTGGCAATCATCTCCACAACCCTGTGCTGCATGGGATCATGGCCAAGCACTGAGCCACACCGGCCCTGGTGGTATATTCCATTGAGATCACACTTTGCTAATCTCAGTAAATTTAAACATACATCTACTCAAAAAAACCAGACTTTGCACTGAATTTTTCACAAAGGTAAATAACACTTCTATACATACAAGGAATTATATAGAAATGTTTGTACCAGCTGTTAGAAATAACTAAACATTTATTAAAACGGACAAATTATGGTGATATATCAATGATAAGAATATCTATCACAGCCCTAACTGGTTTGGCTCAGTGGATACAGCACTGGCCTGTGGATTGAAGGGTCCCAGATTCAATTCTTGTCAAGGGCATGTATCTTGGTTTAAGGGGGGGTGCAGGAGGCAGCTAATCAAAGTTTCTAACTTTTTACCCCTCTCCCTTCCTCTCTGTAAAATCAATAAAACATATTTTTAAAAAAAGAGTATCAGGAAAAAAGATGAGTTACTAATGTAACTTTAATAAATCTCCAAGTATTTATGAAACAAAAATTAAAGCAGAAAAATACTTAGAAAAATAAAGTTCTCTATGAAAATGGAATGTAAATCCATGGAAACTAGGCAAGTTGTGAAGAACAGGGACAGGTTAAGAGGTCATGAAGCAATTACACAGAGACAGATATGGTCAGCATTATGACTATAATGATGGTTTCAGTTTCATGCACATGTCAAGATTTACGAAACATGCCCTGACCAGTTTGGCTCACTGGATAGAGTGTCGACCTGTGGACTCAAGGGTCCCAGGTTCGATTCCGGTCGGGAGCATGTACATTGGTTGTGGGCACATTACCAGTGGGGATTGCGCAGGACGCAGCTGATCGATGTTTCTCTCTTATTGATGTTTCTGACTCTCTATCCCTCGCCC